TGTGTAGCTTTGCGCCTTTCCTGGAGCTCACTTGGTAGCCCAGGCTGGCCTCGAACTCACAGAGATCCGCCTGACTCTGCCTCCCAAGTGCTGGGATTAAAGGCGTGTGCCACCAACGCCCGGCAAATTCAATTTTTTTTTTTTTTAAATTTATTTATTTTTATTTTATTTGCATTGGTATTTTGCCTTCATGAATGTCTATGTGAGGGTGTCAGATCTTGGAGTTACAGACAGTTGTGAGCTGCCATGTGGGTACTAGGAAATGAACCCAGATCCTTTGGAAGAGCAGTCAGTGCTCTTAACCACTGAGCCATCTCTCCTGCCCCTAAATTAATTTTTTTTTAAAGAATTAAAATTTAAATATAATTTAAACACACACACCCACCAAAAACCAAACAAATGAAAAACAGAGGAAGAGAAATACAGATCTAAGATTTCTCCTAAGATTTTGAAAGTGACAGCTGTGTGTGGTGGCATGTGCCTTTAATCCCAGCCTACTCTACGTAGTGAGTTCTAGGACAGCCAGAGCTAACACAGAAACTGTCTCAAAAAAACCAAAAGCCAATGAAATAAAATCAAACCTGTGCTTTGCCTTCGCAGTTCCCTCACTTGGCTGTTGGATTTTAAGCAAAAACGTCTGAGAACGCGAGGCTGAGCGTGGAGATGTCCCTCTTCGTGTGTTCCATTTGTGTTTGTAACTTGTGTTACGAGCAAGTCTTCAAATGGCGATTTCAGTTTAAATAGTGTGCTTGGTTTCGTGACAGATGCTATCAATATGCTGGCTGCAGACACCTCATTAAAGTTCCGGTCCAATTCTGTCAACGACTGTTTCCTTCTTTTCTCCCTTACTAAAACCACTACCCAGGTGGTTAACTCCCGGCTACAGCAGCCCAGGAAGCGATGGGCAATAGGGAAATGAAGAGCCCTCACGTCGGTCACCGCACACAGGCTGTGGAGCCAGCAGTTTGGCACGGCCCTCAGCATCCTCCAGATTGTACTGTGGGGAGAGGGTGCGGCCGGTCATGGGATGAGGGTGCGCGCTCTCAAGTTCCTAAGAGGTCGACGCACAGATCCATCATCTGGATTTGTGAGGTCATGGAGGGCAACAGCAAAGCTGTCCTTTGTGTCCTGACAAGCCAATGTTATTCAAACCCCCGGCCAGTGGGTGTGGAAGACACCACACATCTAAGCCATCTATGACAGTGATCATGGCTCCCACTGGGCAACTGCAGCAACCTGATGAAGGCCAAGACTTCAAGCTCTGCTCTGAAGAATTAGTACCATATTGTATGAGGTGGGGGGTGGGGCAGGGGAAGCCAAGAGTTCCAGTGGGGGACAGACGATCAGAGTCTAACAGCTGGTCTGTACAGTGCTAAGCAACCCTAAGGTGTGCTGAATTTAAGTTATCTGTTGAGAGGTAAAATGAAACACAGAATTCAAGTCACTATCGAAACAAAGTGTCAGACAGGCATTGGTGGCTTTAGTCCCAGCACTTGGGAGAGAAAGGCGGATCTTTGTGAGTTCAAGGCCACACTGGAAACTGCCAGGCATAGTGACACACACCTTTAATCTCAGGAAGTGATGGCAGGAAGCAAAAAGGTATATAAGGCGTGAGGACCAGGAACTAAAAGTTTGTTTAGCTTTTAGGCTTTTAGCAGTAGTTCAGCTGAGATCCATTTGGATGAGGACACAGAGGCTTCCAGTTTGAGGAAACAGGATCAGCTGAGGAATTGGTGAGGTGAGGCTGGCTGTAGCTTGTTCTGTTTCTCTGATCATTCAGCGTTCACCCCAATACCTGGCTCCGGGTTTGCTTTTATTAATAAGACCTTTTAAGATTTGTGCTATGCCGGGCGGTGGTGGCACACGCCTTTAATCCCAGCACTCGGGAGGCAGATGGATCTCTGTGAGTTTGAGGCCAGCCTGGGCTAGAGTGAGTTCCAGGACAGGGGCAAAGCTACACAGAGAAACCCTGTCTCAAAAACAAAAACAAAACAAACAAACAAAAAAAGATTTGTGCTACTAGGGCTGGAGAGATGGCTCAGTGGTTAAGAGCACTGGCTGTTCTTCCAGAGTACCCAGGTTCAATTCCCAGCACCACATGGGGGCTCACAGCTGTCTGTAATCCACTTGCAGGGGGTTTGACACCCTCACACAGACAAATGTACACACAAGTAAATAAATAAATATATATAAAATAAATATATATATAAAATATATAAAACAAATATAAAATAATATATAAATAAATAAATAAATAAAATATATATAAAAGGTTTGTGCTACACGGTGGCCTGGGCTCCTCTAGCGCACCCGTTCTCTCGGGGTCCCTGAAGCACCGCTTCCGATGGAATGGTTTCCAGTTTCTCTTTCTTTGACTTGTTTCGATTTCATGCGTAATTTCTTCCTGTGCCATGGTGAGCTTTTGTTTCTTCAGGATGTCTCTGTGCAGCCTCCTCTCCTGGCTCCAGAAGTTTCGTCCTTCTCAGCAAGGAGCATCTCCATTGGCTGGGGAGCTGGCGTGCACGTTAACCATGTAAGTCCAGTGCGTCTTGGGTGCTCAGTTCTCCTGGGCATCTCCCATGACTGAAGAAATCTACGTCCAAACTCCAGTTCTGCAGGACTGTTTTTGAGTATGCATCACAAAAAGTCTGGGCCACTGTGTCCAGCCCCACACACCTACCAATTCTCCCAGTATACTGCCAGGATGGAACACATCACTTTAAAAAAAAAATATTTACTTGTTTATTTGTTTGTTTATTTATTATGTATACAGTGTTCTGGCTGCATGTATCCCTGCAGGCCAGAAGAGGGCACCAGATCTCATTACAGATGGTTGTGAGCCACCATGTGGTTGCTGGGAATTGAACTCAGGAACTCAGGAGCCAGTGCTCTTAACCGCTGAGCCATCTCTCCAGCCCCACACATCACTTCTTTAAAGTGCCATCTGTCACATACTTAACAGTCTGGGCAGTACAGGTGTTCTTAATGTGAACACAGATTTGAAGCTCTTGACTTAATATGGTTTGAAGGGTCTCTGGGTGGAGTCAGGAACCCTTTTCACAGGTTATCTTAGGTCATTTCATGAAAAGGAAGCTGCACCACTTCCTGGCAGAACCACACAACCATATACACAGTACAATGAGAAAGAACTCCGACCACTGGATAGTTTTTAATAACAAGAAAATGTTTATACATTATTCAACATCGGACACAAAAGAGGCCGTGCTTAGGAAACACTGGATCCCAGAGCGAACCCTCACCCCCAAGACTCCACCACTTCTCCCTAATCGACTCTTTAGACCATGATAGAAGCTGACAAAGTTACTCATGCCAACAGTTTCCGCTCCCACCGCCAAGCTGATCAGGGGACGCCACACTAGACTGTTGCAGTTCACATAGGAGTTCATGATTCCAGCATTATACAATTTTAAGCTGAGATTTAGACTCAGAAATAAGTTTAGAAAACAGCATTACAAAAGATTGGGTGAGCAGTGGAAAAAAAAAAAAATCCCATGCAGGGCGGCTGTGCTGCAGAGGTGGATGTCTTCACTGCCATAAGTCCTCCGTGCGGCCGAACTTAAAAACCAGCCCTCTGTGGACAGAGCAAGAAGCACAACATGACTGTCTGGGCTGGGAAACTTCTAGAAGGGTAGGAAGCATGTGACGGAGAAACATCACGGAGCTGAAGAGAAGCATCTGAGATCCACACACCGCCTGTCCTAGAGACATGGATCCTTCCTAATGCCAGACTGCTGCTTCTGACTGTCCTCAGACCTGAGCTCTTACTGCCGAGGCTCTGAGAAGCCAGCCAGTGTTTGGGAGTGACCATTACCTACTTGATCCTACAAGACTTTTGGGGGTGAGCCGGGATGGAGCACAGGCCTGGGGTGAGCGTGCTAGCGCTGAGCTCCAGCACCATCACCATCCGTACACCTTTACGGGCTGTCTTGGTGGGCTAGGCCCATCCAGACAAACGAGGCGTACAGTCTTTGTCCTCAGCCCGCTCACATCTGATAACACGTGCCACAAACTTCAGACCAAACCCCAAGGAAGCCTCAAACAGAACTCACTCTCCTTGAAGGAGTTCAATTTTTTGTTTTTATGAAATGGGGATCTTACTGTATAGCCTTGGCTGGCAAGGAACCTACAATATAAACCAGATAATCCTCGAACTTATGGCAATCCTCCTGCTTCTGCCTTCTGCTGCTAAGATTATAAGCACAAATCACTGCCTTGCTGTCGGTTTCTGAATTTGTCTGAAAATGATTCAGAAAAGCAGGATGGCTCGGTGGGTAGTGTTTGCTGAGACAGCCTGACAACCCAGTTCCCTGGAACCTGTGTAAAGGAGCAAAGAGTGAAGCGTCTGTTCAAAGCTGTCCTGTGATTCAAGAGTGCGGCAGCGCGTGTGCATTTGCACACTTACCTCCACACACGTACACAGTAATAAAGAAGTTAACTACATTAAAAAAAAAGGCTCCAAGAGGATGGTCGTATGGAAACAGGCTTTGATTGATCACCAGGAGCTCCATTGAGATGGGGTGGGCTGGCTGGTCTTCTGTCAACTGGACACAAGCTAAAGTCAGCAGAGAGGAAGGAGCCTCGATTCAGAAATGCCTCCAGAGGCAAGCCTGTAGGGCTTTTCTTAATTAGTGATTGTTGGGAGAGGACCAGCCTGTGGTGAGTAGTGCCATCCCTGGGCTGGTGGTCCTGGGTTCTATAAAAAAGCAGGCTGAGCAAGCCATAGGAAGCAAGCCAGTAAGCAGCAACCCTCCATGGCCTCTGCATCAGTTCCGGCCTCCAGGTTCCTGTCCTGCCTGAGTTCCTTTCCTGACTTCCTTTGATGATGGACAGTGATGTGGAAGTGTGAGCCAGACAAACCCTTTCCTGGCCATGTTAATGGGTTCTGGTGTCTGATCACAGCACCAGCAACCCTAACTAGGACACAGTGGCAGGAACAGAGCTGGTGGGATCATGAACAAGGTGCTTCTGGGTGAAGACACAGTACCTCAGAATGGGAATGCCAAGGAGCCAGGGGTAAAGGCTGAGGGGTGGAGCTCCGTGGTAGAGCTAATGCCTAGAGCGCCTCGTGAGGCGGGGCAAGTCCTGCCAGGCCCGGTGGCACACACCTGTAGCTCCAGCTACTTAGGATGGTGAAGTCCAGCCTGGGTTAGAGAGGAATTCCTTCCTTTAAAGAACACATACACACGCATACACACACACACACACACACACACACACACACACACACACACACATATGCACACACACACATACACACACACACACACCAGGTGTGGTGGTGCACACACAGCAGCAATCCCATTTCAAGATGTTGAAGTGGGAGGACCTTGAGTTCAAAACCAGTCTAGGTTAAACAGTGACACTCTGTCTACACACACACACACACACACACACACACACACACACACACACACACGATAAAGAATGAAAATCAGAACTTACCCAAAAAAGATGAAGGCATTCTGGAAAAAAACAGCAATTCCAGGATACACTATGGACTTTTCTGTAAGAACAATTGCTACAGTTAGAGATGTACCAGCAAACACCACCTTCTTGCCTACCTAGCACAGCTGATGGCTGGCAGCGGTGCTGGGTACATTAAATGGCATAATGCACGGCAGGCAGCACTGGTTTGGTAAATGACGGCCCCCCCGCCCCCCCCCTCAGATAAGACTGCTTCCTGAGGGCACACGACCCACGAAGGACACTGAGAAACATGCTGAGGACACCGCGGAACAGAACTGATAACTGTCCGGCCCTCAGGGAGCCGCACCACCAGGCCCTGGAACAACCAGGGGAGGAGACAGAGCAACCCAGGAGAGGGAGTGGGGAACGTGGAGACGTTAGACCCCGAGGCCAGGAAGACTCCAGGAAGAGCAGACCCCAGAGCAAGGGCAGGAGGCAAAACTCTGAGGCAGGAGAGGCAGCATGGGAGGGAACGGCTGCCGGGTACGAGAAGTGAGAACGGGGAGGAAAGAGGACATTCCGGGGGGCCAGGCAATCATGACAGGGAAATGTGACGAGAGCCAACCTGTCCTAACGGGATCCCACTGCAGGCAAAGGGAGAGGCAGGAAACCTGCCAGCAAGTCCTTTCAGAAAGCAGGAAGAGACTGTGGTAGGCTGAAGGGGGTGACAGCCATGGAGCTGCCGAGAGGTGGCTGTGGGTAGGGTCAGCATGCACTGCACCCGCCTGGATGCTCAGGGCGGGAGAAAGGCACCTTCTTTGACAGGCCTTGGCTGGGGGCAGCTGTGACTGGCCTGCACATCTGGAGGGGCACAGTAACCTTACTGAGAGGACAAAGACACAGCAGTGCCCCGCAGGAGCCCTGAGTGCCGAGCTGGGATCTCCCCATCTCTGCCCCAGGCTGTCAGAGCGCTCACTGATGGACAGCTCAGGGCCCGGAGGCACAGACGAGGGTCAGCTTTCTCATCCCAAAATAGCCTCAAGTTTTGTCTAGGCCTCCACTACTCCACAGAAACAGACATCACCACCTCCAGGTATAGTGGCTCACATCTTTAGTCCCAGCACTCAGGAGGCAGAGGCAGGCAGATCTCTGTGAGGCCAGCCTGGTCTACACAGTGAGTTCTAAGACATCCAGGGCTCTATAATGAGATCATGTCTCATAACAACAATAGTAACAAAACTAACCAACCAAATCAGACTGGGCTGGTCCAAGCTTGGCCAGGCACTATGTTTTTAATATTATAGCTACGGTCTATTTTATATGGATTACTAAATACGTTTCCTATTTCTCTAGGGTCTCTCAAGTGGAATTTCAGCCAAGGGACCCAGGGCCTTTTCCAGCTCTGGCTTTAACAGCACATGCAACTGTTAACTATTTTTCCTATGTAAAAGGAGATAATACTGCATTACCAAGGAGGCATAACTAAATAAAAGTCAAATGTGGCAACATGGCAACTACATGTAACCTCAGCACTGGGGAGGTGGAGAAGGAGAATCGGTAATTCCAGGCCACCCTAGGCTACACAGCAGGAACTTATCTTAGGTGTGGTGGTGAACAGCTATAATGACAGAATCTGGGAGTCTGAGTGAGGCCAGAGCTACACACCAAGAGTCGGTTTCACCAAAATAAAACAAAACCAAAAACGAAACAAAACAAAACCGAGGGCTGTCGATGAGCTCAGTGGGAGAGAGAGTGCTTGCCTCCAAAGGCTCACTCCTCAGCACCTCCACCGGAGGTTAGCGCTCTGCAGGGATGACGTCACAGTCATTGACAACTTGATTGGAGCACAGCCACGCACCCCCCCTGATGATAGGTCTTGAGTGCTCTGACCTAATCAATGAGCGAATTCAACCATGGATTCAGACTCTGAGACAGAGGGAACAGAGGGACGGGGCAGGCAGGCCCTCCCAGGAGGAGGTGGGTCATGGGGCCATGCTGTGAAGGCCTATCTTGGTCCTGGCTCATTGCCATTGGTCCTGTTTGCTGGCGGTGAGCATCTCTAGAGCACAGAGCCATCCGCTCCTGCTGCATCAACACCAGAGCCCTGGAGCCGGATGACCTTCAACTGTAGGCTCCGGCCTGAGCCATGACAGACCCTCTCTTTAAGCTGTTCCTCTTGGGTCACAGGGCTGAAGATTTGAGAGCAGGGCGTGGAGTTTATCCCATTCCTTCCGAGCACCAGGTTGAAAGAAAAAAAAATTTACAAAGCTAACTACTGATGGGAGGAGAGATGTCTCCAGGTAAAAGAAAATGCAACAGTTGATGTATCTATATATAAAATATTGTTAAAAAAAAAAAGTTTAACCTAAAGTAGACAGTTTTGACGTAAAATCCCAGCATGGGCCGGGCGGTGGTGGCGCACGCCTTTAATCCCAGCACTCGGGAGGCAGAGCCAGGCGGATCTCCGTGAGTTCGAGGCCAGCCTGGGCTACCAAGTGAGCTCCAGGAAAGGCACAAAGCTACACAGAGAAACCCTGTCTCGAAAAACCAAAAAAAAAAAAAAAAAAAACCCAGCATGGGATTAAAATGTAACTAGCATTTTCTTACCCTTAGCAACATAACCTCCAAAGAGAATCCACATGGACGCAATCAGGGATCCGAAGGCCAACATGAAACCGATGAAGAGCCAGATTCGAGCGCCTGCAAAAACAATCACAGTACCACAGCTGCTCAGCAGATGGCTGTCGACTTTATAAAGACAATCAAAGTCCAAGCTGAATGCATGTGCATGCCTGTGATCCCAACAATTACAGGCAGGAGGGTCTGAAGTCCAAGGCTAGCCTGTGCTACCTAAGACCCTGCCTCAAAAACAACCAAGGGGCTGACAGGGGGACCCTCAGGTAAAGGCACTTGCTGCCAAGCCTGGTGCCTCAACTTGCTCCCAGGGATCCAAATGGTAACAAGAGAGAACTGACTCTAATAAGCTGTCCTCTGATCTCCATACATATGACATGTATGCAGCCACTCATTCCCTCTCCACCAGATATGGGTGGTTGAGGTAGAAGGAATGCCAGCCTGCACTACACAGTGATGTGGCCAGCAAGTGCTACAGAGACCCTGTCTCAAAAACAAAAACAAAAACCCACATATAGCATACACACACGCATAGATATGATGTGCCATACATACAAGCAATAGAAATAAACAAATATATGCCTAGTGGTGGTGGCGTACGCCTTTAATCCCAGCACTCGGGAGGCAGAGCCAGGCGGATCCCTGTGAGCTCGAGGCCAGCCTGGGCTACAGAGTGAGTTCCAGGACAGGCTCCAAAGCTACACAGAGAAACCCTGTCTCAAAAAATCAAACCAAACCAAATCAAACAAAACCCACAATGGGCCAGGCAAGGTGACACACACACCTGTGATCCACATACTTGCAGGTTTGAGGCAGGAGGATCAGAACTTCAAGGCCATCATTGGTTATACTAGAGAGTTTGAAGCTAGCCTAGGCTACCCAATATCCTGTCTCAAAGCCATGGACCAGTGAGATGGTTCTGTGGGTAATGTGCTGGTTACACAAGTCTGAAGACATGAATGGCATCCCTTGAACCTTCCTAAATAGCCAGACGCAGGGCTTAGAAGAGGCTCAGCAGGTAAGAACACTGCTGCTCTTCCAGAGGACCTCAGTGTGGGTCCCAGCACCCACATGGAGATCCAATACTCTCTTCTGGCCTCTGTAGTCACCAGGCACACATGCACACAGACATGCATGTAGGTAAAGCATCTGCACACATTAAAAAAAAATGGTCTAAGATTATAAACTATTTTAAGATGATAATGCAGGCCAGGTATAGTGACGCACACCTATAATCCTAGCCCTTGTGAAACAGAGGCTGGTGAACCTCTGAGTTCAAGCTCAGCCTGATCTACATATTGAGTTTCAGGCCAGTCAGGCTACATAGTGAGACTCTGTCTAGATAAACAGACAAACAAAAAATGCTAATACAACCAAATACAGGTAGTTTAATGTGCTACAGATTCTGCTTTGCAAACACTGCCAGCTCCTGCTCTCTGCTGCAGCCTGGAGACACTTAAGGCTACCTGTTATTGCTGAGGGCATACACTCAAGCCTGGTGGTTTTTGCACTCACAGCCTGCTGTGACCTATGCCTTGGAATCCAGCACCACCCCATCCTAGACCAGAACGCCAGCAGCCCGACAAGCACCCTTGGGAGTACTGGTCTTGCTTCAAGGAAGAAAGGTTGGTAGTAAGATGCGGGTGTCTACTCACCTGTCTGGCCCAGACAGCCTTCACTGTAGCTGTCACCTCGCACTTGTCCATTCGATACCGCGTTAATCCTGTGGGAGGAAGAGAACCAAGAAGTCAGGAGCTTTCCCTCCACAGAGAAGCCGTCTACAACATCAAATTACTAATGCAATAAGCTAGACGTGCCCATATTCAAGGTGAGGCCTCCTGAGTCTTGAGTCATGGGTCCATATGACTCAAGTCATGTAAGGAAGGTCCCTTCAAGTGAGACATGTCCTGGAGCCACATCTGTGGTCTAGACAGGGAGAAATGGCGTTGTTTGAAAGCTTCCAGCCTCACCCAAAACTTATTGATGCAGTATGGACAATGTGGAGCCACAAAACCTAGTTCTAACAAGTTTTCCGGGTGATTCCAATGCTTGTGAAAAACTGAGTGATGGCTTAGCCATTAAGAGCATTTATCCGAGTTCAGCTCCTGCCTCACCAACCATCTATAACTGGAGCTTTTTGGGGATCCGAAGCCTCTGGCCTCCAAAGGCAACTGCACTCACATGCACATACCCATATACATAATTTAAAAAATTAACCTTAAAAAACAATTGAGTAGGGGCTGGAGAGATGGCTCAGAGGTTAAGAGCACTGGCTGCTCTTCCACAGGTCCTGAGTTCAATTCTCAGCAAGCACATGGTGGCTCACAGTCACCTATGATGAGATATGGTGCCCTCTTCTGGTGCGTAAGCATGCATGCATGCAGAACATTATACATAATAAATAAATAAATCTTCAGCTTTTAATTCTAGCACTGAGAAGGGAGAGGCTGGCAGATCTCTGAGTTCAAGGCCAGCCTGGTCTACAGAATGAGTTTCAGGACAGCCAGGGCTGTTACACAGAGAAACCCCGTCTTCAAAAACAAACAAACAAATCTCAAAAGGTTGTGTCAGAACATGGACAGAGGTGGGAGAACTGCCATGAGTTCAAGACCATCCTGGACTGGAGTGGCCCCTACTCAGAAACATCAAGCTCGGGGAACCAACTGTGCTCTGTGCAGTGTACCTGTTCTCTGGGTGCTCTTCCTCCAACACGAACAGCCTTCCCACCCTGCTGAGACTTCCACATTTCTGTTCTCGCTGCATAGACCTTCCTTCACCTTGTCTGGACCTGAGTGCCTGTGCTGGACCGCCCTCCTATGGGGACCCATGTCCCCCACTGTCTCAGGCCTGCCTGTGTACCTGAGGATGCCTGCCACCTTTGACTCCACTCACCGGTATATCTTCTATTTGGTTTTATTTATTTTTGTTTTGTGAGACAGGCTCTGTGTAGCCCTGGATGTCCTAGAACTAGCTCTGTAGACTAGGCTGGCCTAGAACTCAGAGATCTGCCAGCCTCTGTCTGAAGTCTGCCTGCTCTCTGTGCAGGGTGGTCCTACTGTGCCTCCCTCAGTGGCTCACAAGCCTCTCAATTTGCTAGGAAAAGATATTTACACATATAAGTGGGAGAGGGGGTAAAATGTGGGGAATCTGGCAGCTGGACTAGGGAAAGGCTGGAAGGGATGATTCTAAGTGCTAAGATTTACAGGTGTCTACCACCATGCGCAGGATATTTCCCTCCATGATTATAAAATATACCATAGCCAGGTGGTGGTGGCACAAGCCTTTGATCCCAGCACTTGGGAGGCAGAGGCAGATGGATCTCAGGGAGTTTGACGCCAGCCTGGTCTACAAAGAGAGTTCTAGGACAGCCAGAGCCAGAGAGACCCTGTCTTGAAAAACCAAAAATAAATAAATATAGTACAAAATAAATTCTGCAAGGTCCCTATACCTGGGGTGGGTATATTTTCACCTTCCCATGGGACACAGCCTTTCTGTGAGCTACAAAGAAGGAACAAGCGGCACATCTGGAGAGAGCAACATCTGGAGAGATCAAAGTGTTCTGACTTAATCTCAGAGACTGATACAGGTGTACATATAATAAAAAATATACCCAGCACTGAGGCAGGAGGATCATAATGTTCAAGGTCAGCCTGGGCTATATATGTAGACTTCTCAAACCTCAACTCTAGTAGCCCCTGACCCTTCTTGAGCCCCTGACCCCATCCCCGACCCCTCTCCAGCCCCGAACCCCTCCAGCCCCTGACCCCCTCCATCCCGACCCCCCTCCATCCCACCCCCCCTCCAGCCCCTGACCCCCCTCCAGCCCCTGACCCCTCCCCAGCCCCGACCCCTCCCCAGCCCTGACCCCTCATCAGTTCTGTTTTTCTCATCTGCACCTGAGTCATTTAACTCTGTCACTGAATCTCACTTACTGACTGTACCCCTCACTCAGCTATGGACTGTTCCTGTTTCGGTCTCAACCATTTCTCTCGCACTGAGAAGAGAGGCCGGGCCATGAAACCCATACCTGTGGGAGGGTGAAAAACCCGAAAGGAAAACACAGTTTCCGAGGTGAACGGGAAGTTTTAAACTGTCCCCTGCTATGACAGAAGTCAGCACACCTGAGGAAAGCAGGGAGACGCTACTGCAGTGGAGAGAAGGAACGGCCACTTCTCCTCAGGACAGCGTCTTGCTGGCCTTGGGACTCACAGCAATCCTCCTGTGTCAACCTACACAAGCGCTGGGATTTTTGTCGTGTTTCTTTCTTTTAGGTTTATTTTATGCATGTGTTTTATTTCTTTTAGGTTTATTTTATGCATGTGTTTTATCTGCATGTATATATGAGTGCCTGGTACCAGCAGAGGCCATAAAAGGGCACTGGATCGCCCGAACTGGAGTTGGAGGAGGCTGTGAGCCGCCATGAGGTGTTGGGAATCAAACCCAGTTCTCCTGTCAGAGAAAGACATGTTCTTAACACTGAGCCATCTCTCTAGACCCTTCGTCTTGTTTGCTGACATCAGTGCCTTGGCTGGCCTGAAACTTGCAGCAATCCTCCTGTCTCTGTTTCCTGAGTTCTGGGATTGCAGGTTACAAGAGGTGTGCCACTGTGCCCAGCTGTCCTTACCTACTAGAATTTTAAACTGTGTCTAGGATCATTTTAGTCTGCAACACTCTAGGTGGGCAGGGTGACACCACACTTACATGAGGAAGGCTATGGTTGCTATGACGCCACAAGCATGGTATGAGTGGTTGAATACCTCCATGGTGGGATACATAACAGCTGCATCGATGATGATCCACCAGCCTGTGAAAAACTAAAGACAGACAGACAAAATAAGGTGACATCAGCGAGACATGACAGCAACATTACATGGGTTGCTGTGGGGTATCTGACCCAAGAAACCCCTTCAAATGAATTTCCATATTTCCTCAACCATTCCAGCAGCTTCAGGCTTGTGATTGGTAGGTGGCTCACCAGCTGATTAAACACCAGGCATCCTAAACCTGCTTCCACTAGTAGACTTCACAAATCTGTAGCTGATTTTGTGACCTGTAACTTACAACGTCTCAGGGAGGAGGAGGAACGGGAAGTCGGGTGGGGCTGTTCATGCCTATCAACTGCAGTGTTCAGAGGGCTTCAGGACAACGGATCCCGACTGGCAGAGGAACGGCCTGCTGCAGTTCTATGACGGGGCTCCAGGCAGATAATGTGGGGTGCGGTGGCACACAGCCACCCCAGGGAGGCTGAGGCAGGAGGACTGAGAGTGAAGCCAGCCTGCGCTACACAGCAAGACACCTCTCCCTGCCAAAAAACGGAGGTTGGCAGAAAGAGCAGTTATCACTGGACGAATCTCAGCTACATCTTGGTGTCGTGAAACTACAGGTCTGCAATTTTCTTATTCCTTTTGATGACTACAATGTGGTCATTTGGTGGCTTCTGATACGATTTTTAAATTCCATTTGAACATGAGATTATATATTGCCTAGCTATATTTTTTTCTGGTTATTATTAAAGAAAAATATATAAAATAAAAATAATAAAATACTACAAAACAACAAAAAAATCTGTTTCAATCCCCCCCCCCCAAAAAAAAGCCCAACACAATCAAAAAACACACTGACTAGGACTCTACAGGATGGCATTAAGTATGCTGAGATGTAGCTTGCTAGATGAATGCTGTCTGGTGTGCACAAGGCCCTTGGCCTCTATCCCCAGTACCACACGTACAAGATGCTATTAACCAAATCCCAGCCAACAGCTTAGAAGGGTTTGAAAAGAGGCTCCTTTCCTGCGCTCACTGCCACTCAGAGGAAGCTTGGGAAACACCACCCTCTGCTGATTTAAAGTTATTTTGAGCTATCAAATTGCCTTTAGCAGATTAAAGACAGACCCTTACGTTTACTGATGACGCTTTTATTGGCTAATACAAGCAGTAGCCTGTATTCTCTCCCCCACCCCCATTTAGTGTGTTCAAGATTTAAAATTTTTTTGAATATTTATGTTATATGTCTGAATGTTTTGGCTGCATATATGCATCAAGAATGTGCCTGGTATCCATGGAGTTCAGGAGAGGGCACCAGAACCTGGGAAGCTAGATTACAAAGGGTTGTAAGCCACCATGTAGGTGTTGGGAACCGAATTTGGGTCCTCTGCAAGAGCAAGTGCCCTTAACCCTGGAGCCATCTCTCCAGCCCTGCATTCAAGGTAGTTTATTCATAGACTAAAATTTAATGCTTTTCAAAATACAAGAGTTTCGGGCTGGAGAAATGGCTCAGAGGTTAAAAGCACTGGTTGCTCTTCCAGATGTCCTGAGTTCAATTCCCAGCCCAACATAGTGGCTCACAACCATCTGTAATGAGATCTAGTGCCCTCTTCTGGCCTGCAGGCATACATGCAGGCAGAACACTGCATACATAATAAAATAAATTAAAACAAAACAAAAAAAAATACAAGAGTTTCTAAAATGGTATTCAATGTTGTCATGACTTTGGAAAAACATATGATTTTTTTTTTTTTTTAAATATGACAAATCTTTCAGAGGTCCTGAGTTCAATTTCCAGCAACCACATGGTGGCTCACAGCCACCTATAGTGGGATCTGATGCCCTCTTCTGGCATAAAGGCATACATGCAGATAGAGCCCTCATACACATTAAATAAATCTTTAAAAAAGTATCTAGAAGAAAAAAAAAATGGAGGCTGGAGAGATGGCTCAGTGGTTAAGAGCACTGACTGTTCTTCCAGAGGACCTGGGTTCAATTCCCAGCACCCATATAGAAAAAAAAAAAAAATATATATATATATATATATATACATGTATACATATATATATGACAAAAATAAAAAATCAGAGACTAGGTAAAGAGAAAATATTTAAAGTTGGGTTTCTAGTCATTCACTTACTTAAAATTTCTTCCTTCCAGGCTGGGGCTATAGCTCAGTGACTGAGAACTTGCCTATTCTGTGAGGTTCTGGATTCAGTGTCTAGTAAAAGTATTTCTCTTCAGAACAGGAAGTGGGTAAGATCTTAAACCATGTTATCAGACTGCATGAGGAATTTGCCATGTAAATGACAATTTTATTTTGTAAATCACCACTGAGCATTATATTTTAAAGGTCAAGGTGGGGCACACCAGCACCTGGGAAACAGGAAAAGGAGGAGCTTAAAGTCATCCTTGGATATACTAGAAAGCCAACATGAGCTACATGAGACCCTGGGAGGGGGGGAGGATCTTGAGTTTCCTACTACTTTTCCCTACAAGATTAAGGGGAATGTGAACTCTGGATAACCTGATAAATGGGATTATCTGTCTTGACTAGTTCAGACCTGATTGTTTCTCTAATCCTTTTTTTTTTTTTTTTTTTTTTCCCGAGACAGATTTCTCTGTGCAGTTTTGGTGCCTGTCCTGGATCTCACTCTGTAGACCAGGCTGGCCTCGAACTTACGGAGATCTACCTGCCTTTGCCTCCCGAGTGCTGGGATTAAAGGCGTGCGCCACACTTAGTCTTCTTCAACCCTTTCTTAAACTTATTGTGCTCACTGAGAGGAGGCATAACCCATACAATAAATAAATGCATAAAGTATGTTTCATTCTGCCAACTATTAACAAAACTACTAACACTACTACTAACAAAACTCACAAATAAAACATCACTAAGTAAATTTGGTGATCAATTTTTTTAAGCATACATTTTAAAGCCAACACACACAATCCAAAAGGTCTATAGACACATATCAAGGAGGGCCAAAGCCTCAAGGATACTTACGAGAATGCCAGCGGCGATGGAGGCAATGGTGTTCCGCTTCTCCCCCCAGTCCATGCATTCCGAACACCTTGCGCCTTCTAGAAATCCAGACATCTTTTCAGGTCACTAAAACAAAACCAACATAGCAAAATAAAGTGCTTTTGTTTACTTGCTTCAAACCTGGCAGTGTTCCTGCAAAATAACAGCTCATTTCTAATCTAATACATGTTACAAACTACTATTATTCTGGCTCTACGTATTTCTTCAGAATATCTGATGTAGCTTTTGAGGAGAGTGAGGTTTGAACCTAGGGCTTCATACATGTTGGAGAAGCACTCTATAAATTAAGTCCCCAGCCTGTTTCTGCGTGTGTGTGTGTGTGTGTGTGTGTGTGTGGCAGGGTCTTTCCCAGGCTGCTCTCAAACTCTAGGTAATCTTCCGGCCTCAACCTCCCATATGTTAGGACCAAGCCACGATTTATTTAGCTTTCGATAAAACTGCCAAATTCTAACTCTGGAAAACAAAATTTTGATTCACTCAGCATATACATAATTTAATTTGAAACATGGTTTTCAGTTGTGAATGGTGTAGTGGCTTGTGCCTGTGATCCTAGCATTTGGCAGGCTGAAGCAGGAGGATTGCACTCAGGCAGGGGCCAGCCAGTGGGTTTCAGGTTAGTTTGTCTCAAAAAACAAAACAATTATCAAAACCAAAAACCAAGAAAACAAAATAGGATTTTTTTTGTATTTACATAATATGAAAGAAGGTGATTACCCAAACCTTAACAAAAATGTACTGAGCTCCTCAAAGTTGTTACACTCTATTATTCCAATTCCATTATTATTTTAATTCATGCAGTCCTTTAAATAAATGCGCACAATCACACTTGGTCCTCCAGGGCTGTTTTCTATAGCTTTCGTTCCAAACTAAAGTTACTATTTGGTTTTGCTGAATGAGGACCTGATAAACTTTGGTTCTAAGTTAAAAACAGTACTTAGATAAAAAATACTTCTAGGAATTTGCACATTTTATCGTGAATGTGTGTTTTTTCATGCCCAGATTAAGAAAGGAAACTATGAACTACGGGTTTTATTTCTACCTCATTTCTTTTACAATATTTCTTAAAGCCTGTCTTCGAATGTCATTACTAAGTAAAGGGCAATCATTTTAATATCTCTAACTCTGCTCCTAGTGACGTTTCAGCATCCCACACAGAAAGTGCAGACCTGGAAGTAATTCGGACTAAAAATAAAGACTGTGCTGTCAAATTACCACAGCCAGCCGAAACTGTCTTAACAAATTACATAAAAACCTCCCCTTCAAGCTCAACTGTGCAGACCCGGCCCGAGAAACATCACGTGATCTTTATTTCACAGAATAATGGGAAACCCTGAATTATACATAGCTCGCTCACAGTGAATGAACACCCCAATTCCCACATAACTCCTAAGGAGTGCGATTTCAATTTTGGCTCCCTTTAACAAGCTAAAAACTGACACATCTTTGGGGTGAGTTCGGGTCTCAAAACACACTCGTTTTTATCTAATGCTTGAAAAGAAAAGCAACCCACTATGGTGTAATTGTCGGTTCACCCCAACGGCTCCACCCGAGTCCATTTTTCGCTGCACAATTACTTGACACCTCAAAGGCTGACCCGCCCTGCAGACTGGAGGAACAGGGCGCGGCCACGCGTGGGCCGGCCGCGCTGCTCTGCCGTGGGGTTTGCATGCCCAGCTCGCAGTTCTGGGGCGAAACCCGGCGACAGGAAGCGGCCGGGTAGGTCGCTCGAGCTCAGTCGCGGTGGCGGCGTCCAAGAGCTGGAGCGCGGCCCGCACCACCGCGAGTTCGAGCCCCGCCCGGCCCGCTGCTCCGCCCTCCCGTCCGCACTCACGTCCAAGTCTGGAGCCCGGAGTCGCCGCGCGTTCGGTGGCCTCACTTTACTCCAGTTCGGCAAGAAAACAAAACAGCCACAGGCAACCAGACTCCCGGATGTCAATACGCAGACCCCGCCCTCCAGCCAGTGCGCATGCGGGTCCGGAGCGGGAGGCGGTTCCCGGGGCGGGGTCTCTGGGCCACGCCCACCGCGACAAGTTTGCGCATGTCCAGACGCCCTTTTCCAGTCCCTCTGGTCACCGTGGGAAATACTGGAGTTAAGCCTGTGTTCTGGGACCGAGGACGGGAGGCGACAGTTTACCTTTACTATTTGTTTTAATTTTTTATTATACTTTTATTTATTTTTGTTGATATTGTGTGGAGGTCAGACAGGACAACCTGTAGGAGTCGGGTCTCTGCATCCACCCTGTGGGTCCGGGGAATCAAACTCAGGTTATCTGACTTAGCAACAAGTGCTTTTACCTGCTGAGCCATTTTTCCAGCCCAATGGTGACTTTAGTGAGGCCGGGGTTGGCCCCGCTCTGATCACAGGTCTATGTGGGTGGCAGGTAGAGTCAGGTCCCTGTGTCCCTGAGTCCCAGAACGGGGGAGGAGCTCATTCCCGGGCAGTACTAGCCAGTAGGGACTCTCCAGGCCCGTTTTCTCCTTTGATGCATTGAATCTATGTGGCTTTAGTTGGGGATGGGACATTAACTGATTAATCTATTAAACTAATAGACTATTAGTCTATTAAACAGTGTCCTGCTCCTCCCTGCACCCCCACAGTGCTGGGGCTGGAACCCAGGGTTCTAGTACTCAGGCCTGGTCCTAGCCCCAAAACCTTTTCAATATGATGAGTATTTTGCCTGCACGTACATTTGTGCCCCATTTGTGTGTCTGAAGCTGGCTGCCTGGAACTGGAGTTACCGCCATTGTTAACGGCCATGTGCGTGTTGGGAATTGAACCAAGTCGTCCACGAGAACAGCCAGGGCTCTTAACCACTGAGCCATCTCTCCATCCCCTCCATGACCTATTTTTTAAATGGACATGTTTTTCTTAATCCTTAAGATAAAGGTTTATTGTGACTGGCTAATTACTGGTTAATGTCTCAAGGCAGAGGAGTCTAGATCAGGCAGTTCTCTCTCTCTCTCTCTCTCTCTCTCTCTCTCTCTCTCTCTCTCTCTCTCTCTGTGTGTGTGTGTGTGTGTGTATGTGTGCCTATTTCTCTAATTCTATTGATGTCCCTGCTGAGGATGTGACTACTCTGGGCCTCCACATGCTAAGTTGGCACTCTACCAGTGAGCCATACCCCAGCTCCAAAAGACAGGGCTCCCTTCACCTCTGCCTTTTCTTTGTAGCCCTGGCTGGAACTCCCTCTGTAGCCCAGGCTGGCCTCGAAGTCCCAGAGATCCACCTGCCTCTGCCTCCCAACTGCTGAGATTGAAGGTGTGCGCCACCACTGCTGGCCAAAGACAGATCTTTATGAAACTTTTTAAAAGTCTCTTACTCAGGCGGTGGTGGCACACACCTTTAATCCCAGCACGCGGGAGGCAGAGGCGGGTGGATCTCTGTGAGTTCGAGGCCAGCCTAGGCTACAGAGGGAGTTCCAGGAAAGGCACAAAGCTACACAGCGAAACCCTGTCTCGAAAAAAACAACAAAACAAAACAAAAAAGAATAAATGTCTCTTACTAAACCAGCTCTTACTTAAACTTCTACCAAGCTAAGGACTAGAAAGAAGAGCATCAGCACCCCTTTCTCTTTGTGTTGTCTCGACTCCTTTTGACCGTTACTGGCTGTATTAGCTACTTGGCTGCTGCTGTGATAAAATACCACGGTCCATGCAATTTATAGAAGAGAGAGGTTACTTTTGTTTATAGAGGGAAGAGTCCGTCGTGTGGGGGAGGTGACAGCAAGTAGCAGGCACAGTGGCTTGAGCAGGAAGTTGAGAGCTTACATCTTCAATCACAAGCATGAGCTTGAGAACTAGGAATGGGACAAGGCTTTGTAATCCCACACTCCACCCCCAGTCACATACTTTCTCCAGCAAGGCTGCCCAACCTAAACCTACCCACACAGGGCCACTAACTGGGAACCAAATGTTCAAATGCCCAGGACAATGGGGGGACATTTCTCATTCTGTTATGCAGACCAATACAACTGAAAGATTTCAGTCCCCGTGCGTGGTATTACATGAGACTATGAAGGAAGCTGTAGTCTGCAGTGCTCAGAAAGAAAGCTGTACATAGGTCAGACATCCTACAGACGTGACTGGCTGATGAGGACTTCCATCACTGAAGATCTGGAATGTGGCAGGCCCAGGGCCAAATTATTCTGGGCTATCGTTAACCCCCTAAACAGCCACTTACTGCCATCTCAGTGTTTGACTAGCAATCTCGTAACTAGTGGTTTATATACTCTTTGGAGTATACAAATACTAGTTTCAGCTCTACCTGGCCACCCTACTGTTGAGATAGCCTATTAGAATTGTCATTCATCTGTGCAGTTCTGCTGTCCATCTGCTGTTTGTCCATCTGAACCCTGTCATACCCTTCACCTCCACAGCCTCGGTGGTCTCAAGAGTCCTCCGCCTTGAGCAGGGAGCTCCACCCGGCCCTGAGCTCTGCTCAGCTTGGGCCCTGCTCCTCCAGCAGACCTCCACTAGGGTTTCATTATCTTATTCCCACAGAGATGTTCTCTGCCTCCCTATCAGCCCTCTGCCTGCCTCTTATTTGATGTCTCTCAAATGCCTTGGGCTCAGCTCTGACCTCTTTAACCCTCAGTGGGCATTCTGTAACCCAAATGTACACATACATAGATTTACTGTGTACCGTTTGCTGTGTGACTGAGAGTGAGTGTTAGTAGTGAAGACAGGCGTAAAGGAGCTGTGTTTGGGGCTGCGGAGATAGCTCAGTTGGTGCTTCGCGAATTGCTGCCAATAACACTGACACAGCTTGCTGTGGGATGGTCTGTATGGCAAATGTGTTGCTCTGATTGGTCAATAAATAAAACACTGATTGGCCAGTGGCTAGGCAGGAAGTATAGGCGGGACTAACAGAGA